TTTTAGTTGATCACATGTTGGTACCCCAAGAAAACTGTCACACCGCACTAGTTTATTGGTGTATAAGCCGGCCAGCCCTTGCTCGCAGTAGTGTGTTCTGACCACGCCGTCACCTTGATGAGGCACAAGATGATATTGAAGGCGAATCTCCACGGTCAAAGACTTAAGCGGCAGCAGCGGCGATCGCCGGTATGCAACCGAAACCCTTAGCGCTATTACTTGAAACACTTCGAACACTTGTGAGGGAGATGGGCTTGATGTAGTGCTTTTTTTCTTCTAGCTGCAATTATTCTGCAATAAAAAGCCTGTTTCGACTTAACGAAAAGTGAAACCAGATTGTTGACATTTCTTTTCTATTTTCTTTTTAACTCAAGGCAAAGATGGGGAAATATCGTGAAAGCATCATTTTTGTTTAGCTTTCTTGATGTTCCTATTTTCATTTCTTGAGCTTATGTATGCAGTATGAATACTTCTCCTTCTTGATGTTGTGTTGTAGGTGTTTCAGATTGAGCCATAGAAGATTCCTGAGACACGTATACCAGTTGAAACAATCAATAGAAGTAAAAGAAACTCACATAAAGGGAAAAAGGTAATGCCCCATTCACCATGTTCCAGATCCTCTTGATACAGTTCCAGTCAGTGGCCATTATTAAGAAACAAGGTCACACAAGCTGGGAATCATCATATAGTAAGCGTGTGGTCCGGGTTATAGCGTAGGGGCTCACTCCATCGCATACCCGCCATCGCAGCTATCTCCACCGATTGCCGCTATTATCGCGAAGTATTAACGCTGACTGACCTTTAAGCGCTTGAGCACATCACAAATCGCTTGCTATATGCCACGCTTGTTAAAATGAAGGTTTATCAGTAATTCACACCGCTTACAGAAGACCAGCAAAGGTGCTGTATGAAGTGAAGCTGCAAGCCTTGCTTCGTATTTTTATCCAGATTTCTTTACGGCACATTTTTGTAAGTTCGCGTCCAGAGGACGTGGTGTAGTGGCAGGCTGCACGCTAGTTCGGGACTAGTCCTCGGCTCCAGCAGACCAAGTCCTCCTTTTCAGGGGACGGTGCACTGCTACCAGATTCATGTGGAGGGCGGAAACTCTGACTTGTTCATCGACTGCTCCGCATGCTATTGCGTAGGCCTCGTAACAACAAGAACTACACTACGATTCTGAACGGAAGTGTAATGCCGCGTGCCGAAGTGAGGATGATTGGCGAAAACTTTATCTATTATTGTCCATCCGTTATGATCTATTCTAGTGTATTCTAGTCTGTATTGACTTTTCAATTGTTATCTTTTTATCGTCACTTTATCTCAACCTTAAATTGGGATAGGCGGCCCTTTGATAGAACGTATTTCTTACTTTGAAGAAACGTGCGATTACTTACCGAGAAGTTGATGGACTTCCTGAGCATTTCTGATGCGAGTTTGTATCCCGGACTTTCTGATGAGTCATGCTTGTCGCATTTTTCGGTTACTCCAGGAGAGTCGAAACATAGAATAGTCACCACAGCCAACCACGAGCGCATCTCCTGCATCTTTCCATATGATGATCGACGATACGATTATTAAAAAGAGAAAGGCAGCACGAACAATTTGGCTTGGTAGAAATAATGCTGACCACTTCTTGCAGTCTCTTTCGAGAACGGACTTATAGAGGGCTTTCTTGATTGAGAATGGGTTTTCTTTTGTTCAACGAGAGCTAACGGGGTAGTCGTTGATGATTGAGATGAGCTGCCTCTTTTTCTGAGAACTATTCTATCTCACTTTTCTAGAAGTACTGCAGGTGCGTTGGGAAGTATGCGAGCTGCCATCCATTATTTTTTTTCTTCTTTGAGTCATACACTTGGTACCTATGCAGGTGGCAATCAGAGGCTACAAGTGGTGAGTAGTATTAATCCGGTGAGTGAGCAGTGTTTCGTCTCCCAGCCAGCATCCATAGCTTTTAGATGTTGTCGTGCCGGAGGCGGCTTTTCCTCATACCCCTGGCGTACTACCAGGTCGTCAGGCCCCTCTGGCCTAGCATCGGTGTCTGGATGGGGATGGATCCGCAAACCTCGTGGAATTCATCCGAGATAAGCCCTAGTTTTTTTTCTAGAACAGTTCATTCCGAGTGGCAGAATGACTCTAAACCCTGGTATTCAAACCACTAATCGTATACCTCCTCCTTGCAAACGATATTTTTCAAACTACAACGATCTCAAAGGGTTGCATGTCTTGGTGGAACATCGCAGCAAAGCCAAAAGCAAACAGCACCATAAATGAGAAACAGGGGATGTTTATTTGAGGAGGATTCTTTGAGCTTTGAATTGGTTGGAATACTGTTGTTCCATACAGGGCCTAAACTACTTGCTGAGAGGTGGAGCGTTACTTCTGATCCGCGCCATCGCGCGGTGCAATCTCATTAGATTGCGCAGTCGACGCACCCCAAAACCACCACGTTGAGTGGACTCGGTCCGGGCGCGAAGACGCTTGTGTCACCCACTTGTAAAGGCATATGTGCCGCACTCTATGAGACTTGGAAGTAACGCTACACACGCGGAAACTTAGGCATTTCTTGAGGGAGATATCTCTCTATAATTTCTGGCTCATGATCAACAAAAGTAGTATTCTCTCAGGGATAGTATGCATACCAAACATGCAATAGTGTTTTTGGATAGTAAGACGTCAGGAAAGCAACGCACTGGGATTTTTTCGAGTACCCCTCTTCGAATAGATCAGGAGTAGCGCATTTTGCACTCGGCGGTCTCGCCTGCTAGATCACTCATGAACGTACGTAGTCACCAAATTCGCTAAAGACTTGCAAAAAAGATTATTTAACATCCTGAATATGAATATGACATTCACTAGGGGCTGGATACTACGATCATCCGAGTCCGCTGAGGGTGAGCTGAGAAGATAAACGTAGTGTTCCTTCAATAGCTCCAGCGTCAAGAATGATTGTCATATTCCTACTAAGCCTCTTGAAGCACTCGTTGGGCTATATCTCTCGAATGTGTAAGACGACACGGAAGGCGATCCTAGAGGCTGTGCTACCTTCAAAAAGTGAAAATCGGCAAGAACTCCACTGAAAGCTGACCAATCAGGCCTATTGGCACTCCTTATATTAGGCCCCTAATGGCTACTAGCTAGTAGCCACTATGCTATCTCTGTCCATCCTGAGTGGTGAGAGTGAGGTGGTAAGATAGAAGTCCTTACATTCCACGTGGAGGTTCGTATCAAGAACACGCGTTTTTGCATGCAAGTTACGTGCATGTGACTTACGAGTTACGTGCGTACGTGCGTACAAGTTCAAGGGCCAGAGTCCTACTCCGGGTATTTTGGACTTTTTTTCTGCTTAATCTTCCCAATAATAAAATACCTAGCACTTTTCGTTCGCATGTGAGCTCCGTTTTCCGTCATCTGTGGCGGCAGGTTTTCCTTCAAATTCCCCGACAGGCTTCCAGCGAATTTGGTGATTTGGGCACTTCCTCAATGACCTCTAGACCAAAACTGTGCGTGTCCGCCGTGTCACGCCTTCTGCGTCACTTTCACACTATCGCATCCGATCTGCGAAAAAAAGTTCCTCTGAAGGATGTGAACGAGGAAAACTTTCGTTCCTCCGTGTCCTCTTCCTTCCCTCCTGTGAGGAACGTTACTTCCACTTCCATTGCGCGCACCAATAGAGTATTCTCAGGCTGGTTGGCCAAACAGGTATACGCACAGAGCTATACGACTTCAAAGGCCCAGAGAGAGAGTCGAGAATATAGTTACATCACAACGTTGCCACCCTGAGTGGATAGGGTCGAGGTGCGAATGAATCGTGCATCAGCATGCTTTCAGTGCTTCTGCCGGACTCCCCGCGTCTTGGAGGTAGCGCTCAACAAGGGCACTTTCTCTTTGCTGCTTCTCAAGAAACGATGCTCACTGCACCCGATTTTTTCATGCATCCTGGAACATTCATTGCCTGAAAAGCAATCTCACTCCCTTGCCGTGCACATAGCAGTATGGGAATCTGTTCATTAACTCTTACAACGAAGAAGTAGTTTTTTCACTGAATTCTCAAAAACCCGCTGGGCTAACTACTTGCCACGAAACGTCATATTTAGAGG